AAAGCATTTCCTGTACCTTGGCAGTCACCTCTCCCAGCTAGCCAGTCTTGATGTGGTAATCAAACAGGATTCTCTGTGCCAGTGTAAACTTTGGAAAGCTGCTTCACTGTGTCTTTGCTGACCGAGTTCTGCAGATGGAAACTAAGATCCTGGTCTACAATGCAGTGGTTATCCCCACGCTACAGTCCACTTCAAAGAGAACCGTCTTGCTTAGGAAGCCAAGAAATGGCAGAGGAGAAAGGAAGGCACCACTTGTCATATCTATGGAAAAACTTGTTAGAGCACAGATTGGGCTCCTCAGCCACATTAAAACAGACCAGAAATCCCCCCTCGGCAGACATCATCCTCATATCAAGGGACAGCTGATGATGACCCTAATTCCAAATGAAAAGTCTTGTAACTGAGAACTTGATCAATTTTGCATAAGTTGAAACATTCACTCAAGAATTAGCTGGCAGATTATGAGCTTCTTAAAGCAGAGAGGTTATAGTATTTCATGTAGCTTGAATTAAGTCGTCAGACACTTTTCACACTGACTGCAAAAAAAAACATAACCAAATTAGGCATTACAAGACAAAGGCTACTCTGACCTATAGTACAAAACACTTCATTTGATTAAAAGGATAGAGGACTTGGAAGATGAATGTCTGTTGTTTCCTTCTTCAACACAAGGTGTTTTTAAATAAATGTTCTATATAAATGGAGGACAGTAGCATAACACTTCATGAGAAAGAAAATACCACCCTTCCCTCTCTGGTCAAACATGTTGTGTTTTTTATCTCTTTAGACTGCAGTTAAAGATTTAGGTTGCTGTTGGTGTAAGAACCCTGGGGATCATCCTACGTAAATCCAAGTACTATGATAAAAATGCAGTTGTGCTACAGTTGGACTTGGGTTATAAGAAATAATTATGGGCCTTGACGGTCTATGCTGAACACTAGCACATCCTAGACTCTCAGCTGGTGAAGATTGAATGAATTTATTACATTTAATCAGTTAAGTTACTAAATCTCTGTTGTTTTTCAGCAGCTGAGTTTTGGGTCTTGGCTCTGAAAGTTTGTTCCTACGATGTTGCCACAAAACATCAGTTTGTCAAGAACAGTGTTAGTGGAAAATTTCCATGGGTGGTTTTTAAAGACCACAGTTTATCATCAGAAATAAACTAGATAAGAATAAAGGCTGTACAAACTGTTGATCGTCTGGGGGAGGAGAAAGATTTGTAATCCCTGTACTGTCTCCAGACTTTCCCTCTTTCTATTCTAAGAACAAGCCTTGGATCAAAACCACTTCTTTCACACACCTTATCTTCATCTATTATGTGAGACGATTAAAATTGTTTTTTGATCAAGAGTAATTGTGATTTACGACAAAAGCAACATCATTTTGAACAGCGCTTATAAGATACGGGCACAAAGCCAAAAGACCGAGTAGTTCTGTCAACTCAGTAGCCTCACGCAGACCTCAGTGCAGTCACGCCGTTGTAATCAGCTGAGGTTCTAGCCCCTGTACTTCAGAACGTAATATAGCCTGCAAAAGGTGTTAGAGGTAAAGGTTTCCAAGAAGATGTTTTGTTTTATGTTGGCACATACTGAGAACATGAACTAGTTTGAGCTCAGAAACAGATGCTTTGTAAAGGAAAAATTTGTGTTTTGAATACCTTTCCTGATTTACATGATGTGTACCTTCTTGTCAATAGCTCTGTCCACCCCACCTTCCTTCTGCAAAACTCAGCAGAAGGGTTTTTTTATTCTATTTTTTAAATGAGGTGTTAATGCCTCTAAAGTCTTAGAGAAGCTGTAAAGTCACTACCATGCTTATAGTCCATGTTCAGAGTCTTCTAAAGGTCTCTTTCTCTTCTCCAACAGAAGTGTTTCTCCAGTAGGAAAAGCTACTGCTGATTTCCACCCCCTTCTCTCTAAGTATACTCCCAGCAAAAAAAAATAGTTGGTGGCTGTGGTAGATATGTTATGTTTTCTTGGGAATGCTTAAAATTTTTAACATAATTTCCTCCCGGTATTTATAATTCATAAATATTGGAAAGCAAATGGGTGCATCCAGTGCCATACCTAGACTCCTGATGCCTCCAGGCAAACTTTTAGTATTGGGACTACCTTCACCAGAGATAATGACAATAATAATCAGACTTGTTGCAAAAGTCTGCATCACATCTGTGGTATCGATGTCTTTAAATAGTTCATTCTCAATTGACAACATATGCGTAATACTAAAACTTTTTTTTCCAATTGTAATTTTTTTTTTTTTCATTTTTGGGCCCCCTTTTTGCCCAGGCCCCAGATGGCATCGCCCATGCCTGTGTCCAGGTCTGGGTGCATCACTGTGTACTGACACACCTTTTTAAAATTATGCAAACCAGTTAATGCACCTGGTGGAAACGAGGGTCGGGGGGCATGTAGTTGTGCCTGTAGACCGCAGTAGTTTGGTATTTCCCATTCTTTGGAGCCATATGGGATTCTAAATCTAAAAATCCTTAATTCAGCTCTGCCTCTCAGTGGCAAGAAAACATTCCTTGTGGTGACAGTGCTTCCTAATTGAACATTAGGACCAAATAGTTCCTTACATTTCACGCTTCAAGATTACTGATTATACAAAAGTTTAAAAAATGAGTCTCAGCTTTGAGGGTATTTATCTGAATATATGTGTGTGTTCCCCTCCTCCCTCCAGAATCACTCTCTCTTCTTTCATGGAAACGTAGACCAAGTCTTGCATGTATAAGCTGTGTAATTCTGTCATGTCTTATTCTGTCTTCTCAGTTTAAATAATGCCTGTTTTCTCTCCTTTAATTATGCCCCATGTTTATAATAATCTTCTCTTACATTTTGATGCATAATTGTAAAATGGTTAAACGAGGTCCATATTTACTGTTTTGGGCATGAACAGCTTACCAATCTACTTCTCACATTTAAAAAAGTCATACTCAGCATTGGAGTTTATTCTGGTGATCAGGTGATTAGTTGGAATTATTTTGAACAGCAGGACTTCAAAACACATCCTTCAGAAGGAAGAGTTGCAATTAAATTGCCAATTAAAATACAACCTGTTGTCTCCTAGCTGTTACCCCCAACCAGGCAGATGATTACAGACTGCAAGGAAAGAAGATTTCTGTAAACCCTACTGTTCGTCTCAAAGCAGAAAAGCTGGAGACGGTAAATATCTTGTCTTTTGCCTTTTACCCAATAAGTAGAGCATATGAAATACAAAAAGAAAATTTCAAGCTTGAGTACAGCCTGAGTAGGTAGACAAGAAATTATTATTTTCCATTTGGGTAGTATGTTTATTCTTTATAGCCGTATCTGACTTGACATACTGGGCAAATGGCTTTTTGGGTGGGTCCACTTAACCATTAACTACATTCTTTGCTGGATGTTGGAAAAGCACACAGTGTTGTTTAAGAATATGATATTCAGGAAAAGGGATTCCATTCATTCTTACCTTGTGACAGGTAGGTCACAAGTGGACTCGGGAACAAAATTTTGACCAACAAAAATTAATACAGACGAGCATTTTAAATGTGACATAAAACTAGGTACTGCGGTTAAGTAAAGTGTCAGGGGATCATAAATGGAAAAAATAATGTAAACAAAGCCACCCTACAGAAAAATCTTCAACAAAAGAAAAAAATGGAAGAAGAGAGAGAACAGAAAATAGGGAGCTAAGATGTACCACAGAAATACTGAAATAGCCACAAGGGTGTGGCTATAGCAAGAGTGAGAGAGAATGAAAGAAAATAAAAATACAAGCCTAGAAAGAAGTAATGTTCTAGCAAAGGGTTATTTGGGAATAAGAAGAAATGCAAATCGAGAGCAATGCAGAAGGAAATGAGATTTGCAGAAGTACTGTGGAAGGACAGATCATGTCTATAACTTTTTTGGAAACATGCAGTATACATTTAAATGGGTTTATTTGCCATAACACACAGTTTAGTCTGGTTTTTCTTTTTCTTCATTCCTGCACTTCAATTTGGAAAAGGGATATAACAAATAGGCATCTTTCTGCTAACATTTCAGCTGGTCTTTTGGTGTTGCTAACAAGGAAAAAAATATAAACGAGAGAGTAAAGGATAAAAGGAGAGCTTCCAAAATAACAGAAAGATCTTCTAAATACACTTTGCAATATAGGAAGGTTCGATATAGCCATTCCACCTTGTAGGAAACTGCAGTACGGGAATCTGGTAGGATTATTTACCAGCTGGAAGTGACTTAGAGGAAATGTGACTATACAATAAACCTGGTTTTATGTGATCACCCAGGACATCAGCAGAAATCCATAGCAAAGTTACCAAAGTGAAATATGGGAAGAATCTGTTGCATGTCTTTTCTAGAACAAAATTTTTCCTAATTTTACACTTACTTTCATCTAATTTAAATGGCCCAAGTAATGGAGCTTCATGGAGGTTATGAGTAATTTAAGCTAGGGAGGTCATAGGTAATTTAAGCCTCAGACTGGCAAAGCATCAATACACATTCTTAACTTTGAATACAAAAGTTGTCTTGTAGATGTACTTATAGTTAAGTGCCTTCATAGATGCCTTAAGCTGTGGTCTTTGAACTGCAGAAACACTAACAACAAGTTTTAACTTAGCCGAAAAAAAGGAAGTGAAAGCAAACACTAATACTTGGCTTGAAATAATTATTTGGGCCAAATGTAGAAGTTCAGAATTGGGATTTTATATAGAAACATCTCACTATATTGACTATCACTTTAGTGACATCTCACTATCACTTTAATAATCCATTGGTGTAGACTTTTAAAGTGGGATATCAGGAACACTGTAGTTTTTGTACAACATTACAAATTATAAGGAACTACTTAGAACAAATAATTTGAGCAAGGATGAGAGACTTATTCCATACCTATAAGCAGGAACATTACTGGGGAACTGATGCTTCTTTTCCTTTATTAGTCTAATGTCATTACACTTGCTTCAGATTTTTAATATTTCTCAGACCTTACTATTTCTCAGGCCTTGTACCTGACAGTTTATCTAAATCTCTCCCAACCATGCAGTTAGTCCAGTAAAAGATGTGAGTCATTGCCCTTCAGATTCAAGTCACTTTATAAATTTGAGGTTAAGCATTCAGATAAGCTGATGATGAGCGCAGTTTAAATACATTGGTAGATTTGGTCTTGGTGTTAGGTCTGGCCTAAATATTGTCAGAACAAAATATGCCAGCCATAGGAATATTATGCCACGCCACAAACAGTATGTATTAATAAAGACAGTTTTCAGTGGGGAATAACTTTTCATCCGTCTCATTTATCTTGTATGTAATAATTATTAAAAAACAGTGCCCCTCCCAAACTAGAAATTCTGTTTCTAAGTGGTAATGAAAAGGCTTTCTTGTCTATTTAAAGTAAAGTCTTATATTCCATTTTTCTTCCTCCTCCATATACCTCTTTTTCTTCTAGGCACTGAATTACCTTGGGATTCAGCCCACAGCTGAACAACAGCAAGCCCTAAGGAACCAACTACAAAAAGATTCTAATGGGACAGTATCTTTTGGAGGTAATCATTTGCAGAGTACCCTGAAAACAAGTGTAGCAGAGAAACACACAGCGGATAATACCCATTTGTATATTTTTCATTATATATCCTTCCCATCAGTATGCATTACTATGGTAATGAAAAGCAATTCTCTGAAGCCAGCCAGATGCTGATTCCACTATTTAATAATAAACTTGCAATTTTGGACTAGTGCACTGTAGTGGAAATCACATTTCTCCTAAGCAGCCTTGGCTCAGTAGACATTAAGTGCACTTTCCACTCATTCCTACAAATACATTTTCAACTGTGCCCTGAAAATAGTGTCATTTTACTTAAAGTGTGAGTTTTTTACTTGAAGTCTGAGGTGTTTTCCCAAATGGAAATGGTTTGTCTTTAAGAAATCACGACTTTCTTTTAAGCAGAAAAACGCAAAGCATCTGCTTTATAATGGATTGATTTGTGTAAGTATGTAATAAAATTGACTAATTCTAAACAATATTTCATGCATTATGGTCTTCTGAAAAATAACTGTAAGATTAAATGTTGTGCTGGTGGCATTTGCTATCAGCCAAGGTATAACAAACCTCTGGAGTTAGCGACTTTTCTTGTCTAAATTTCTCTTTAATATTCAAGTGTGTTCCAAGTGCATATTTAAATAAAAATATGAGTATTCACACCTGCATAAAGGGCAACAGGCTTCAGCATTAAGTACAGAATAGCTATGTTAGTGTTCATTAAGCCTGTCAGCCCTGCACCTTCCACAAATAGCACACTCATTTTTTTTAAGTCATTGCAAGCATTTGCAAAGTAAAGAGAAAAACTGACTTCAGTGAAATAGGTGCTGCAGATTACAGTAACTATACTGTGTTTTAGATTTTGTTCAGGTTGTGAGAAATCTGTTCTGTGTGCAACCGGAGGAAGCAGGTGGTGGCCAAAAACCCCTTGCATTGGGGGCCAGCGAAGTCAACAGTTTATTAGACTCGCAGGTAAAGTATATGTTGGCACATGCTAGCATTTAACTCTCAAGAAGAGTATGTTAACAAAGCTGAATTTACTCAAGCCTGTTGCAGTTCTTGAAATACACTGTGTCATCATTTTCTTTTAAAATAACTTTTGTTCCTAAGAATCCATTTTAATTTGCAGGAAGCAATTCACAAAAAATGCATTGTGAATTGGTATGTGTGTGGATAACAACGTTTTACTGAGGTTCCTTAAAGGAGCAACTGAATACTACCAGCTGTGTTAGTAGTATAAAATTATGTGGCAGAATGATTTGAAATAGCTTTTTTTTTTCCAAAAGACACTATTTAAGGATGGCAGCCAAAGTAGGAAATTGGTTACCAAGTAATATGGAAGATAGTTTAATTCTTTAACCTAGGTAAAATGAGAAGCAGGATATGTCTGCTGGTACTGTTTTCTCAGCCATTTTTGTTGTGTAATTTTTCTTAATAATCTGCTATAACGAACAAAGTTATTCTGTTGTAAGAAAATCTTGTGATTTTTTTTTTTTTCTTTTAAAACATATATGGCTTACCTCAGTACTTTTAAGACCTTTTGTATAGTTTAACGTTAAACGTTTTGGCTTTGGTTTTCTGAAAATATTGACGTATTCTGAAAACCTAGATGTTGTTTTTATCAAATTTTGTGCATCTCGAAAAAGTTGCCTATCAGTTTTGCGGGTGACTCTCTCTTAACCAGGAGTCTTGTTTAAGAGATTAAACATTTTGAGAAATGCAGTTCATCTAGTATCATCTTCTAACTTGCCAACTTCTTTCACATTTTAATACAGTTTGTATCCTGTGATTCTGTGGAAATGGATGATATGGAAAGACTTAAAAATGAAAGAAATGACACTTTAAAAGAAATAACTAAACTGAAGGTAATATTGAATTTGGATTATTCTAAACAGAAAACAAATAATTCGTTTAAGGAAATGTGGTATATCATCTGATTTCCCCC